GGATGAGCGGGATGAGAATTCCTCTCGCCGCCGCCTCGCGCGGGCCCCATAACAATGAGCGCCGGTGCCACCCCCGGGAGGCAGCCGGGGCCAGAGGGCTGCGGGGGGGGCACGGCCGGGGCACCCCCCGCTGCGGACCCCCCCCTCCGGAACGGGAATGCGCTCCCGCGTGGCACGCACGGGGCACACGCGTGGGAATGCCCAGGAGGAGGCACGTGCGTGTGGAAATAGGGGGATGGAACCCGCACGTGCGCAAGCGACGCCCCCCACCCCAAATGTGACATCCCGGGGCCCTGCAGCGTCTCCCGCCCCGGCGGCGCCGATTCGTCCCTGCCCTTCGTTCTCTTCCCACCGTGCCCAGAACCACCTGTGGGACGGGACAGCGGGGGCGAAAGGACCTGTTTGCTTTCTCCTGCAACTGGGGACACTGGGAGGGGGGAGTGGGGGGCAATGGGGGGCACCGGGAGGGCGCTGAGCCCAACCCGGGCTCCTGATCCCATCCCCGTGGGTGCTCCCCGGCATCCCGGTGCCCCCATCCAGGGACCCCAAACCCGGCTGGAGGGGGGAGAGGGCGGGGGGCGGCCCCCCGGCCCCCTCAGACGTCTGCCACTGTCTGATGTGCCCAACTGGAATCACTAATTCCAATAAAGCCGGGCTAGATTAATTTTCATTTCCCCATGCAAATCAGCGCTAATTAGGATGGATTTAGTTCACCTCACAGGGGCTGTGGGGACAGAGGCGGCCGCGGCCGCGGCCCCAGCCAGGCTTTGGGGCGGTTCATCCTCCGCCAAGGATTTGGGAGGGCGGATCCCAAAGCCTGGGGGAGCGCAGTCAGGAGCCGGAGGGGTTCGGGGGGTGGGACAGGAGGGCAGGGATTGATCCCGATGTTCTGCCCTTCCCCAGGACCCCCAGATCTCCTCCCGGGCCCCCAGGATCAGACCTGCTCCCCCAGATCTCTCCCCAAAGCACATCCCTGCCCCTATTAGCGCCTGGGGAGGACCACTGGATCAGGGGGGAGGAGGGGGAGGCAAACAGGGGTGCCAGGGGGACAAGGGGGATCTCAACACCCAGGGACCCCCGCCCATCGGGGGTCCGGGGCTGGTTTGCTCGGCTGAGAGCGCGGTGATGACGGGGGGGGGTCCCCAGGGCCCCCTCTGCACCCCCTGTCCTCTGACTGCAGGGGTGGGGGCTGCCCTGCCCTGCCCGATGCGACCACCCCGGGCACCCGGGCTGTGCCCTCCCTGCAGCGGGGTGGGGGGACAGCGCAGCCCCCCCCAGTTCTTTCCGATCCTGCCTTCGCCTCCTGCTTTGCCAAATATTTCACTAACTCCCGCTGCCCGCAGGCTCCTGTTTGCGCAGGTTGTCGCGGAGCCAAGGAGGACGCGGCTGCCTCAGAGCAGAGACGCTGCCGACGGGACCCCCCAGGCTCAGAGCTGCCCCCCCAAAAAGGGCTGGGGTCTCCCCCCCGCTGCCTGCCACACACGGCTGAGCCCCCCCAGCTGAGACCGGCGTCCCACCGCGTAGCCCCCCCGGATTTGGGGTCCACTCAGGCTGTCCCCCACCACCTCTGCGTGTGGGACAGACCCCAACCCCCGCCCCCCCAGCTCTGGCTGCAGCCCCCTTTGCCCCGGCTCTGCTGCCCCCCAAAATCTGCCTTCCCTGGTGCCTCTCGCCCCCAACCCAAGAGCCCCCAGACTCCTCTGTCACCCCCACCAGAGGCTGGGGCGGCAGGAGCGGGGAGGGGGGGGCACGGTCCCGGCCCCCCAGATCTGCCGGGGGCAGAGAGAAGGGGCTCGGGGGGGGCTCGGCGCTGTGCCATGGGGGGGGCACCGCGCGGCTCGGGGGCCCGAGGCCACTGCCCGTGGCAAAGAGCCAGCGGCGGTGGCTGCTCCTGCCCTCATTAAATCCCCCGTAACGAGCTCCGAGCCCGGGGGCCCCGCCGGACCCGGGTCATTACGGCTGACAAGGACCTGTCACGGTGGGAGACGTGGCGTGTGAGTGGCCCCGGCCCCGGCACAGCCGCTGGGGACACGAGGGGGGGGGGGGCACCTGCCCCCCAAACCGCGCCGGCCCCCCCGGTCCTGCCCTCCGAGCCGGGGGGAAGGTTCGTGTGTCCCCCCCAGGTGCCGGAGCAGGACGGGCCCCTCTCCTTGCCCACGCAGGGGATTTGTGGGGACCGGGGACAGAGGAGGGGAGGCAGAGGGAGGAAGGCAAAAAAGTGGAAAGGAAAAGGGAAGGGAGAGGGACAGGAGCCCTGCCGAGGATCCCCCCTCTGAGCTCCCCTCCCAGGAGCCGCCGGGGCCGGGAGCGATGGGAGAGGATGAGGAGCAGAGTCCCCGCTCCGGTCCCCCCCGAGGAGGATGAAGAGGATGCGGAGCAGAGCCCCCCCCTCCCGCCGCAGCCCCCCAGCAGAGCCGCTCCTCCCCGGGAGCCCCCCGGCACAGATAAGAGCCCCGGTGCTCCCCGGGGCGCGTTTAATCTGGGACAGGACAGTTATTGGATAAATACCATGAATATGGAAATTGCATTTATGCTGATTTATGGCCGGGGGGGCAGGTGGGGAGCGCAGACGCTTTAGTTTAGTTTAATCCATTTATTTCCCTGCCTGGAGATGGAGAACAAGCTCCGAGCGCTGCATCTGCCGCTCCCTGTTCTCCGCGCGGCCCAGAAAGGGGGTGCAGGAGGGGCTGCTCCTCCCCCCCTCCATCCCTTGGGATGATGTATGGATCCGGCACGAGACCGGGGGGATTTCAATTAATTCCTGGGCCTTGCAGACTCCTGACCTTTCCTGGGATGAGGAGAGAAATGGAGGTGATTAATCTGGAGGTCAGGGGGGCTCCTCCAGCTGCATCCCTGTGTATTCCAAGGGGCGGGATGGGGGGCACCCCCTTCGCCTGAGGAGGAGCAGGGAGATACCGAGTGACCCCGCGACCCCCCCCTAAGTCACAGCCAGGCTGGGGGCACCGGGAATGGGAAACCCACGGGAAAACAGGAGAACCCAAACCCCAAAGTGCTCGGCAGCCGTAATACGGAGGGGGGGCAGAATCCCTTCCCAGCCCCCCCCCCCAGCCCATCCACCGGGTGCCAGGGGCGGGATTCGAGGAGGGGGCTGCACATGGTGGGGATGGGAGGGGGGAGTGGAGGGGCTTCAGCTCTTAATTTCCTATTAACTGCTGATCAGTCCAATTAGCTCCCGGCTGTAATGAAGGGCAACTGCTTGGCTGGGACCAGCTCTCCCTCCCCCATCCCAAAACACATCCCAAAACACATCCCAAAACGCATCCCAACAGGAGCCGGCGAGGAGGGGGGGTCTGGGGGGGAAGGGAGGCTGATGGAAGGGGTTTTACCCAATTTTCCAGCTGACTCTAATTAAGTTGCTCTCTTCAGCTGTTAAATTAGCCGGAGCTCTCCCCCCTTCCCAGGGTGGTTCCCCCCCTCCCCTCCCGACCGCCCAGATGCAGCAAATCAGCTGCTCCCTCCCCCCCCTCCCGCAGGGCTCCACAAATAAATAAATAGACAATCCCGGGAAAATTAACCGTGTGAGGAGCCGCAAATGAGGTGGAAAATTTTAATGGTCCGGCGTTTAAAGCTGTGTGACAGGAGGGGGAGGAGCGGGGAACGGGGTGTCACTCCCGGGGGCTGCCACCTTCTCCCCCCGCCGCATTCCCACCCTTCCCGCAGCAGCATCTCCCGGCTGGGGATGCTGGGAATACTGGGGGGGACCCCCAGGGTGGGGGTCAAGCGCCTGCCCCCCAACCCTCGCTTGACCCCCGCGACCCCCGTGACCCCCTCGGCAGCCCCAGCCCGGCCCCAGGGCGGGGGGAAAGACCCCGGGGACCCCTCCCCAGGCCCCCCGGGGGTGATCGAACCCCCCCCCCCCGGTACCGAGAGCGGGCCGGGGGCTGCCCCACCGGCCGTCCGCCAGGGGGCGCCGCAGCGCTACATCTTAATTTGCATATGTTTGCATATATTTGCATATCGCGCGGCCTCGCGGCGGGACGGCAGCGCCCCCGCGCGGCGGAGCCGGGGGAGGTCCGGCCCCGCCCACTCCGAAGACTCCGCCCACCCCCCCGCCCACCCGCGCGTCGCCGTGGTTACCGCTGACGTCACGGGGCCGTGACGTCACGGGGCTCAGCCCCCGCTCCGGGGCACCTGTTCCTGCCCCCCCCCCCCCACCCAAATCCCGCTCCAAGGTCCCGTCCTGGCCCCGCCACCGTCACCTGTCGCCTGCGGTCCCTTTTGGGGCCCCGCCGGGCCCCGCGCCAGCGCCCGGCAACGGGGAACAGGGAACGGGGCGGGGGGGCCCCGGCCCGCCCTGTCCCCTCCCAGCGCCCCTGCCCGGCCGAGCCCCCGGCGGGGGCACCGACACCCCCACAGTGACCCCCCACTGGCACCACCGACACCCCCAGTGACCACTGACCCCCCCCACTGGGGCCACTGATACCCCCACAGTGACCAGTGACCCCCCCATTGGCACCACCGACACCCCCAGTGACGAGTGACCCCCCCCACGGGCACCACCGACACCCCCAGTGACCAGTGACCCCCCACACTGGGGCCACTGATACCCCCACAGTGACCAGTGACCCCCCCATTGGCACCACCGACCCCCTCGGTGACCCCCCAGCACCCCCCCATTAAATTCAGCGCAGAGGGGGGGTGGGCACAGCCTGTATTGCCAAACCCGGGGTGACACACGTGGAGCAGCGGGGCAGGACCCCCCCGACCCCCTCCCCAGCATCCCCCCCGAAGTTGGGGGGCTCCACAGCGAGTCCGGGGGTGCCCCCTGCTCGCACCCAGTGTCTGAAGGCACCAACCCCCCCCCCCGAGGGAACGGCCCCAGAGGCACCTCCCGCCCCCCCTCCCTGTCCTGGGGGGGTCAGTCCACCCCGGAGCCCCCTTTGCTGCTGGGGCGGCAGAGATGGGGGGGCCTGTCCCCGCCCCCGTCCCTGCACCGCAGCCAGGACCCCCCCCCATCCCGGGGTCCCTCTGTCCCCCTCCTGGGGGCCCCCCCGTCCCCATGCCGGGGGTCTCCCCCCCCGCAGCCCCCTCAGATCTCCTCCAGGAAGTCCACAGGGAACAGCCCCACTTTGCGGCCGGTGAAGACTTTGACGTAACCGTTCACCTCCTCCCCCTTCTGCACCACGATCTGGGGGGCGAGAGGGGGCGGGTGAGACCCCCGGGACCCCCCCCCGGAGCAGGGGGAGCCCAGGGAAGAGCCGTTCCCGTCCGAGGGGCCGGGGGAGGTGGGAAGGGGGGGGACGGTGGTGACGGGGGAGTCCCCAGGTAGTGCCGGGGTCCCACCTCACCTGATCCTTCTTGAGCGTGATCTGCCCGATCTCGCGGTTGCCCACGAAGGACCGGGTCACTTTGTGCACCCGCTCGCCCGCCCGCACCCGGATGATGAAGTTGGGGGGGAAAAACCCGACTTTCTCACCGATCTTCCCCTGCGAGGAGGCAGCGAGTGGGGAGTGGAGGAGTGGGGGGGGGGATCCTGCCCCGGGGTCCCGGATCCTGCCGGGCTGAGGGTTGGGGTGGGGGCACGGCAGGTTTGGGGGGCTGTGTGTCCCCCCCCTTGGAGCGCCACGGGCTTTCCCTTACCCGCCACCACTCCTCGTTGGAGTCATCGACCACCGTGATCTTCTCCCCCGGCCTGGAAGGGAAAGAAGGGCCCTGTGAGGGGGGTGGGCAGGGCCCCCTCCCCGCGGGAGACCCCGAGGAAAACTGCTCTTCCCGTGGGATCAGCTCCTGGAGCCCCGTGCTCGGGGACAGCGAGGGGCGAGCGCAGCCCACGGGCTTGGGGACAGGCAGGTCCCGGACGGAGCAGCTCAGCCTCGAGAAATCCATGGAACCACATCGAGCCAAACCTCAGGAGCCTTGGGAAGGAGCCCAGGACACAGCTGGCAACTCACGGGAAGTCCAGGTCGTCCTTCTCCAGGGCTTTGAAGCGATAAAGTGCCACGAAATAGTGGGACTGCAGGAACGCCCCCGGCTGCGGCTTCTTGTTCTGGGGGGGCACAGCAGAGTTTGGGGTCCCAGAGGCTGCAAACGGCTGCAGGGATCCCAGCAGGGAGATCCCACAACCTCTGCCCACGGTTTTGGGGGGCAGGATGAGGACGGGGGGTACCTTGTCATCTGTCGGGCTCTTCTCAGCCTTCTTGTCCCCTTCGGAGGCACCTGGGAATGGGGAGGGGGGGGGTCACACCTCCCCTGGTGGTGCCTCCCGAGGGTCTCCTCAGTCTACTCGGGGACACAGCGAGAGCCCCGGGGTGAGGACCTGACCTGGAGACCCCCTTCCTGCAGGGCACACCCCACCCTGGTGGCCCCCCAAGCACAGTCGGGGGCTCCCTCCCCGCCCCGTGGGCTCGGCCCCCCCATCCTCGGCCCCCACACTCACCGCCCTCGGCTTTGCTCCCCGCCGGCTTCGTGGCCTCCGGCTCCTCGTCCATCATCGCAGCCAAGGGCTGGAAGGCAGAGGGAGCTCTCAGGGGGTGCAGAATGCGGGGGGGGGGGGGGGTCAGTGCGTTGCCAGCACGGGAATTTTGGGGAGGGCCCGACCCCCCACTCACGTTCTTCTTGTCGTCCTGCCCCTTCTTGCGCTCCTTGTTGGCCATGATGACGCCCGTCCGCAGCGTCTCGAACACGGGGTCGCTCCTGTTGTCCGCTGGGGGGGCACAGGGACGGCGGGGGGGGGGTCGTGGGTGGGACACGAGGGGATGGGGCACCCCGGGGTGGGGACTGGGGGGACGGGGCACCCACCCCGGCACGGGGACTTACAGAGCTGGTCCTTGACGCAGAGCTGGTCGCTGTAGAGGGGGGAGCTGTAGGCCCGGCGGAACCCGGGGGGCTGCGGGGAGAGGGGGGGGGTCGGAGCATCAACCACCCCCCAGACCCATCCCATCAGAGCTGGGGGACAGGGGGGCCCAGAGGGGGGGAAGCCAGGGCCCCCCTCAGGGCCGGGAGGTGACGGGGGTGGTGGCACCGGGGTCCTGCCCATGGGGGGTGGGGTGGTCCCGGCCCGGGGGGGGGGGACACACTCACGATCTTGCCGAAGCAGCGCTGCATCTCCACGTAGGACTGGCAGTGGTGGTGGATGTTGGTTTTGCAGTTCTTGCACCTCAGGCCAAATTTGTTGTTGACTGGCAGTGCAGGGGGGGGGGTGGAAAGGAGAGGGAATGTGACACTGCAGCTGTGGAACGGCCGGGACAGAGCCCTGGGCAGCCTTGGTCCCCAGGCCCTGCCCTGGCTCTGGCCGTGGCCCCCAGCCCTCATCCTGGCCGTGGCTGCAGCCCCCAGCCCGAGCTCCAGCCCTGCCCGGAGCCCCCACCCCGCCCACGGCCCCACCAGGACTCACGGACGATCATCCGGGCACAAACATCGCAGAACTTGGGTTTTTTGAAGTAATGATCTTTGAACTTGTGGGGTTTGTCATTGACGAGTTTCTCGGGCTCAGGAGGGGGCTCGGGCTCCTCCTCCTCTTCCTCCTCTTCCTCATCCTCATAGATGTAGTAGATGGGGCCCCCCGAGGGGCTGACCAGCTCCCCGTTGGGCTGCGGCTCCGGCACCGGCTCCGGCTCCTCCTTCGGCTTTCGCTGGAAAAGTTGCTTCAGCTTCTGCAGCTGCTGGGGCAGGAGAGGGTGGATGGTGCATGGCAGGAGGGCAGACACCCCGTGCCCAGCCCCTCGCCCCACTGCCCTGACCCAGAGACCCCTTCCCCAAGCGGGAGGAGACCCCAGGAATGCTGTGAGGATGGGGACCCCCCTCCTGGCCCCATGAGGTTCCCACAAAAGGGGAAACTGTGGCTCCTGGGCACCCTGGGGCCGTGGGCATCCCAGAGGAGAGCCGAGCTGGGAAATGCCCACCCAGCACCAGGTGGATCAGGGTCCCCCCAGGCACCCCCAGCCCTCCCAGGCCTCCTGGGGCAGCGGCAGGATGATGTCAGGATGATGTCAGGAGAGGTGGCTTCCCCCTGTGGCACCCGGTGGGCACCCACTTACCCGGCTCTTGGGTTTCCCACCTGAAGCCGGTGAAGCCGCTGGCTCTGGCACTTCCTTCTCGGTCATGCTGTGAGGGGAAGGGAGAGACAAGGCATTGGCTGGGGCTGCTCCTGCTGCAGGTGCCTGGCAGGGCCAGAGTGGGCAACCTTGTTGGGTGGGCACTGCCTGCCCTTCCCCTGCAGCGCCCGGTCCCACTGCCCATCCCACAGCCCCTGTCCTGGCAGGGACTGGTTCTGCCATGGGGAGCCCCGGGGTCACTCCCACTGCCCGTCCTGCAGCCCCTGCCCCAGCGAGGGCTGGTTCTGGCCCCGAGAGCCCCAGGGCCAGGCTGGAGGAGGCCAATGCCCAGCCCAGCGCCTGGCACGGCCGCGGGCTCGGGGCCGTGGTGCCAAGTGCTGTGAGCCAGCCCCTGGGCTACCTGCACGTGCCCACCTCTGCCTGGGCATCTCCATCTCGCCATCGAACTGCAAACGGAGCCGCTCCCGGCCCCTCGGGACGGGCACACAGGTGACACCGACGGGCATCACCCGGCCTTGGGCTGCCACCGGGGGCAGGACCTGCTCTTGCATCCCCCAAACCATCCCGATGCCACCTTTGATGACCCTCCACGCAGTCCTTCCACCCAGACTTCGATATTTTTGGTGACACCCACCCCGAGCCCCCCCAGGCCTCGTGAAAATCGAGGAAAAACCATCGGGAAGCAGCGCTGGGGCCGGGGGGCGTTGGGGTGAGGGGGCACCGCGGGCACGGGGCACCCCGAGGTCCTGCAGCAGCACGGGGGGGCCCACGGGGGTCAGGGCCACGGCGAGGGGGGGGCCGGGCAGGGGAACCCACTTACCCTGTGCTTGGAGGGCTCGCCCTGCGCTGCTGAACCCCCCGAGGGGCGGCCGGTGCCGGTGCAGAGCCCCCAGGCCCCCGGGCGGGCGCGGGGAGGGCGGTCCCGTGGCCGGCGGAGTGACAGGGCAGGGGGGACGACAGCTGAGCCCTGCCGGGGGCTGACGCCGGGAAATTGGAGCCCCGGCGTGCGCCGGGCGGGAGCGGGCGGAGGAGCCGCCGGCTATTTGCGTTGGTGGGTTGCTGGGCGTGCCAGGGGCCCCCCCAGCCTGGCATGGGACAGCGGAGGGACCGGGCACAGCGAGGGCTCCGGGAGTTGGGCACTCCAAGGGCTCTGGGCTCCGGCCTCGGGGCCTCCTTCGCTCGTGTGTGTGAGAACTGGAGCCTGGGTGGGGGGCACGGGGCACAGTGGCAGCAGAGGGGGCTCTGGTGGGGCAGTTTGTGACTGCCTTGGCACCCTCTGGCACCAAATCCTGCTGGGATGGGGGGAGTGGGAGCCCAGTGCTGCCAGGCTGCCTGTGGTGGGGGACAGGGCCCTGGATGGGCACCCTGGGGTCCCCACAGTCCCTGCCCAGCTGTGGGGGGCAGCGAGGGGGGAGCTGGTACAAGTCTGGAGTTGGAGTCCCCCCTTTCCCGGCTTCTCTTACCTGCGTTGGGAGCGTCCCACTGCTGCTGGAGGCTCCAGCTGTGCCAGCCCAAATCCTGTCCCCACCTGCACCTGTGCCAGCTCCAGGTGCTGCTCCTCAGTCACCAGGAGTATGTTGCTTCCCGGCAGGGGACACTCCATGCCCTCATTCCTGCCATGGCACAGCTGGATGGGGTTGGCAGCTGAGAGAAGAGGCCGTGAACATCTGTCAGGGGTCCAGCCCCAGGCCAAGCACTCCAGTCCCAGCCTGGGCTCCCCACATGCCAACACAGGGGCAGGACTGGGCAGGACACATCCCCTTCCAGTGCCCCTTCCACTGTCCCCTCACCCCACCAAGGCAGCCCAGAGCCCCCAGCCCTTGGCACTGGCAGAGAACGGGAAAGTTGTGCTCGAGTGATGGACAATTTTCCTTTTTTTTTTTTTTTTTTTTATTTAAAACAACCCCCCCCCCAAATAAAATAAAACCAAAAATACCCCCTCCTCCCCCCCCCCAAAAAAAATAATAATCCGATTAAATAAAATGTGCAGTGAACATACCAATCAACACCTGTATGTGCGGTCCAACACAGTGCTTAAACAAAACCAGAGACACAGGGGGGGGGGGCGGGCACGGGCGGCACGCCAAAAATAATAATAATTAAAAAAAAAAAAAAAATCAACTTCTCGTCTCTTAATTATGTTCATATAAATATATCAAGGGAGGGGGGGCGAGAGGAAGGGAGGGCGGGAGGAGAAGAGGCCCAGGGGGGTGCCCGGTGCCCGCGGGAGCCCTACTGGGAGCTGGCCCGCTCCAGCACCCGCAGGTCGTAGTTCTTTTTGGCCACGCGCAGCTTGAAGCGGCTGAGGGAGTTGTTGAGGCGGAGGGAGGCGTTCTGGGCAGCCAGCGGGCTGGGGAACACGGCCACGATGGTGTATAAGGCAGCGAGGTCACCGTGCCGGCCGTTCTCCGGAGTCCCGCTGTTGTCCCCGCCGCCGCCGCCGCCGTCCCCGCGGCGCCCCTGAGTCTCTTTGAGCCACTGGATTTTGGCACCGGCCATGGCGAGCTGGGTGAAGAGCTTGTCGGCCTCCGTCCGTGTGATGCCCTCGGGCAGGTCCGTCACCTCCAGCACCCGGCCCAGCACTGCCGGGAGAGAGGGCGAGTCACCGGCCGGGTCCTGGTGCCCCGGGAGCCCCCCGGGCTGGAGCACCCACCTCTCCCTGGCCCAGGAGAGCTGTGCTGTGCCAAGCTGCCCCCAGGTATTTCGCTGAGTCAGTCACTTCCCCCAGACTGCCCCTACCTGCTCCCTGCAGTGCCCCATCCTGATCCCCTCCCGTGCACACAACCTGCTTCGGGAGGAGCTGGGAGCTGCCCAGTGTCCCAGGGCTCCAGTGACACCGAGTCCTTCTGGTGTCCTTTGGATGGCCTTGGCTGGGCAGTTTGGGCTCTCCCAGGGGCTCTGCCCTGTTTTCCTCCCCCAAACCTCAGGGAGCAGGACTGGGAGCCAACCCTGACCCTGGGAGGGAGAATGGCTGCATCCACAGAGGGCAGCAACACGTGGCTGTGCCCTGCCCAGAGGTCCCCAAATCCCTCAGCAGCTCCTGCCCCAGTCCCTGCCTGGTGGTCCCCAAGCCCCTGTGCAGCTCCTGGCTCCAGCCCTGGCTCCAGGCTTAGCAGAGCTGCTGAAGGGATTCTTTGCTAATATTAACGTGGCACAGCCAGGCCATGCCAGGGGCAGGGAGGGCGGCTCTTAAAGGGCCCCCTGCGACCAGCTGCTGGTGGGGACACGGAGGTGACATGGGGGACAGGCCCGAGGCCTCCAGAGGGTCACTGAGGGCTGCTCCGTTCAGGCTGCGGGTCCCTCCCTCCCCAGGGACCTTGCGGAGACCCCCCGGGTGAGAGACAGGCAGGAACCACTCCCCAGAAGCAGCACAAGGTCCTGTGGGATGCTGGTGTGGGCATCTGGAGCCCCCAAACCCCGTGTGTGTGGACATGAGAGGGCAGAGGGAACTGCCTGAGGGGGTCACTTGCCTACGTCGCTTGTGCCCAGGTCGGTGGAGGCCGATTTGAGGGCCTGTCTCTTGCTCCGGTTCCCGTGTTTCATCCCAGTCTGCCCCTTGAAGAGTGGAAAGGGCACCGTGTCACCTCAGGGGACACCGAGGCCTCGCGGGGAGGGGACTGGGAGCTCCCGTGGCCCGGCTGTACCTGGTGTGCCGTGTAGCCGGGCTGGCTGTGGAGCAGTGGCGGGGGACAGAGGGACAGGTTGTACTGCAGCGGTTGGCCCAGCAGCGAGTACCGCCCGTCACCTGCGAGGAGCAACGGCCGTGGGGACCTTGGCAAACGCCCCGGGGAACTCCCAGCCCTGGGCTGTCCCCACACGCCTCCCCCTTACCTTGTGCCGGGCCCATGGGCCGGGGGAACTGTGTGAGGACGGGGAGGGGGCTCAGCCCCGTGCACACGCTGTTGAGGTTGGTGACGGGCGACGGCGTCGGGGACTGGGTGGGGGACGTGATGGGGCTGTTCAGCTGAGTGCTGGCCTGGGGGGGGGGACAGTGTCAGACACCCCCGGTGCTTGGGAGCGCTCCCACAGCCGCGGGGTGACCCCCCACCCATCGCCCAGCCCACCCCGGCAGCCCCAGAGGCCGAGCTGCCTCCTCCCCGTCCCTCCCAGTCCGCCCAGTACCTGAGCACTGGTGTCGGGGTTGTAGAGGTCTCCTGGCTTCTGCCCCCGCTGCTCCAGGCTGTAGTACTTACAGTGGCTCCACTGCACCACGGGGGGGTTCTGGGGGGCCTGGGGGCCGTTGGGGACATTCAGCTGCATCACCACGACACCGGGGCCTGACGGGGACACCCCTGGGGACAGACACAGGCACGTCTGGCCCGGGCTCTGCTGCTGTGGGACCTGGGGCACCTGCCTGTCCCTGCCACTGCACTCCCTTCCCTCTGATCCCGCTCTGGACTCTTCTCCTCTCTGGAAAAGCCCCACCAGGATCCGCTGGGGATCCCTCTCCTAGATGCCATCATACATCGGGGAGTGATGGTGTTTAATCCAGGAGAAATGGGAGCAGGGGGGACAAGCTGATGGGTGGCAGCTCAGTGGTTGCTCTGAGCGTCGCTGCAGGACTCTGAGCACGGAGCTGGGCCCAGAGCTCCAGCATCCCAGCCCAAATCCTGCAGCTCAGCAGGCCCAGAGCTCCAGCATCCCAGCCCAGATCCTGCAGCTCAGCAGGCCCAGAGCTCCACAATCCCAGTCCAGCTCCTGCACCGGCTCACAAGGCCCCACCTTGCTCCCAGTGGCTGGGACAGGGAGCAGGAATCCTGAGGCTCCTCATCCACAATTCTCCCCGCTCTCACCAATCCACAGCCCACCCAGCTCCTTCTGCCACCCCCACCCCGCTGCCCACCAGGGCAGGGAGATGCCAGGCACAGGCCAGTGCCCCCCTGGTGCCACATCCCGGTCATTCTCAGTGGGATTCCCAGCCTCAGGAACCCCCTTGCGCAGACGCTGCCAGACTTGGCAGCTCCGCCACCCACGATCCAAAGGCTGATCCCACCTGGAATCGGTGCCAGCCCTGCCCCTCGTACCTGAATACTGCTGCTGCATCTGGGGGGGGCTGCAGGGGGCTGGGGACTGTGGCATCTGGTACTGCTCGGAGCCAGGAGGCTGCAGGAACCCCACGGACGGGCTGAGGAGCAGAGAGGGAGCGGGTGAGGACGGGGATGGGGAGGGAAAACCCCGGGGGGGCTGTGCAGGTAACTCCCAGCTCCCTCTGTACTGGGAGGGCTGGACACACAGGAGCCTGGCATGCTGGTGGCCAGGAAGCCCTGGATATGGGAGGCAGGACTCAGGGAGGAGCAGCTCCTGTGGTGCTCAAGCACCTCCAGCTGCAGGAACAGGACGCTCCCCCCTCTCAGCAGGGCATGGAATCATCCAGTGGAATCATGGAATCCCCTGACTGGAAGGCACCCACAAGGAACATCAAGGCTGTCTCCTGGCCCCGACAGGACACCCCCAAAACTCCCTCCCCAGAGCAGGCCAAGGGGCAGGAGCTGTACCTGGTGCCGTTCTGCTGGGCAGTGGGG